CAAGTATTGTGTAATGTAGTTATTAAAGAATAGCAGTCAAAAGACATATTGTTTTGTTTATTTTAAAAAATTTTTTTGGGCCACGTGATTAAGCAGAACGAAAAGAAACATGGCTTACGATACTGTTTTTCTCTCATGCTTGAACCACATATATTGTGTGTCACGAAAACACTCCGTAATCCACTCAAAACGCTATTGAATCCCATTTTCGCATCGCAAATTACCGGTTATAAACGCTGAAGAATGGAAGTTCTAAACATTCTACCAGAAGACGCTGGTCGCTATGGTGCCCTCTATGCAGCAGCCAAGAAAAAGGTCTTTTATTGTAATAAGTAGGGTTGTAAATTTAAACTGGTCTCACGGTTTGGTTTGGTTACGATTATTATGCCATCGATTCGGTTCAATTCGATATCTCGGTGCATTGATGATGCTTTCCATATATAATTAGATTTTTTCTTCATAACACAAGACTTTTTTTAAAATAAAAATCTATAAATATATTAATATTTACGTATTATTTGTAATACAATTTTGTTCTTTAAAACAGCAGTAAGAACTGTACCCTTAATTTGACCTGTTCAAAGAAAACACTCTTTCTAAATGTATCAAACAAAACTCCAACACATGCACAGAAAACAGTATGAGCATTTTTTAGCAAATAAACTCATGTAAATATTATCCCACTTGCTTTTTGAGTGCTGACAGGCGAAGTCTTACACCCCTATGATTGGTTATTGTCTACACCTGCTCAACAGAAAGGGCTGTGATTGGCTTTAGAAACGAAAGCGCTGTTCACCGATGGCCGCGGACAGCCGTGGTTACAGTCTGTATGCGCACAATACCCGGTTATCACAGGTAATCTATAATAGAAACAGTGGAGAAGACTCGCACCACAGGCACGGTTGTGTCTGGATCCACAAGTAATGCTTTAACAGCCAAGAGGAGAAGAAAAGTTACCTCACAAACATGCCAGCGGGTTAAATGTCCAAAGTGAGAGAGAGAGAGAGAGGTAAAGATGCAGTTTTACAGCATTTCTCCGTAGTGGTGAAATATGCCGCCTTCATTGTAGTAAGAGCATTATTTACTCGCCCTCGGCCTCCTTCGCCATAGTATTCCACTGTGACATCGTGCATAGGAGATAAATGACGTCAGTACGTAATAACCGGTTATGATCTATTACTGAACCGACATCAATAATTTTGACACCCCTAGTAACGAGTAACAATGCAGCACATAAAAAATGTATCGGAGTAAAAGTATTAAACTCATCAAAAACATGTTCTGAAGTAAAAGTGGAATAGGAGAAAAAAACAATTCTCCAGTAAAGTACAAATACAGCGTTTTAGTACAGTACAGTAGTGAAGTAGTTCTACTTGGTTACTTTATATCTCTGACATGTGTGAATGAACAAATCACTCCCTGAGAGTACTCAAGTACTTATTATTCTCGAATCATACAAAATAATTGTGAAAAATGAAACCGTTTAAAAAACAACACATCACTAATGCACGCTGTCTGTAAACGTCATGCCTAGGTGCAGAATTTACGTAACTTTTAGGGTTTTTGATGTCACAAACCCATGAAAAAGTTTGTATCAGTAATTTGTGGTCTGCCTTAAAAAGCTAATTCTAGAAAAGACTATATGCACTAAACTTTGACCATCAGAGCTTTGTAACATTACACACTAACAATGCTATAAAAGTGAAATTATAATCAAAGTCCTCTCTCTATAATCAAACTCTCACCTGTACTATGCCCTGCTCTGTAAATGGACTAGACAGCCAGTTCATTTACACATTTGCATCCAGTGTGTTTTATGTGTGGTTTGGGAAATTTACAGTCACAGGTATGAGTTGTATGTATTTGAAAGTTTAGGGTACATTTACACAATGACAGTGAAGACCAATATTAGAGAACTACATTTAAATACTTAATTTGTCCCTGAAAAAAAAAAATTTAAACACTGTGATCAGAATGAGACCATGAAAATATAAAGATTCATCACGATTTGAAGAAATTCTATCAGGAAAAGTTGATGCTGGACCATCAGTTCTTTTAAGAACAAAGTCATTCTCAGCATAAAATGCAAAAAAATGCGAAAGTCTTGTAAGTTTGCATGGCTATTTCAGAAATATTTTACCCTCACAATCAAGGTGTAGCAACATTATTAAAATTATGCATTTGAATAACACTTTATATTATACATCTTTAAATTAATTGAGACTATCTATTAATGCAGGATAGGTGATGACAACTGTCTGAGGGCTCCCAGTGCTTACAATTATTCATATTACGTAATTCATACAACAAAACAAAATCATAATGCCTTAATCACCAAAATCATTTTTTGTGTTGAATTATATAATGAAAAGAAAAAAGCTCTGAGCCGAGTCATTTTCAGCTAATTATTTTTTGTTATTTTTTTGTAAATTGGAGTGTGTGCAAAGGACTGTGTGGGTGATTGAAGAACGCCAAGAATGCACGATGCATCCTTCAAGACAAACAATGTAGGATGCGAATCGAAGACTACCTACTGAGCATCCTTAAAATTAAGACATCTTTCGACTGAGCTTGATGACGTTGTGGCCTAGATATGGCATAAGAAGCACCTACTGTATAGTCCACTGTTGTTATTTTGCTTGTGTATACTTTTGCAGTTAACACAAAGAAGATTGCAATATTGGTTATTACATATTTAAAAGTTAGCGTTTCCACTAAAACTCCATTGTCATATAGAGTAACGACTAAAACTATAAAAAAGTTTTCCACTTTTACTTGAAAAATAAAGATCAAGTTCCTGACCATCACTGGAGCTGCTCACTCAGTTTTGTCAAACGCTTTACTCTTTCCAAGGCATGAAAGCTTCTGTTGGTTAATTAAGTTATGGTCGATGAAATCATGCATCAGTTGAACCTGTGTTGCCTCAAATGTGATGACTTTGCATTTTTTTACATAGCTATATTTAATATTTACCTTTATGCTTTGCCTATATGCTTTAAAGAGCCCATATTAAGGCTTACTTTTGAAAATGATCTTCCATACAGTGTGTAACAGCTCTAAGTGAATTAAAACATCCAGCTGAGGTTCAAATCTGAAAATACACATTGTTTAAAAATGTAAATTTTTAAATAAAAGATTCGACTTAGAATCGTTTAAATGATTCATTGTTTGTCTGGATCTTTTGCCTGTTCGTATCGACGTTGACACAAAACAATACCACATATGAAGTGACGGATCCGGTAAAACGTGAACACACCTTTCCTTTCAAACCTAGCTGAGTGCAGGTGGATGTGTGATACATCTTGACTAAAGATGAGTTATTTTTGAGTGAACACTCTGTTGGTTAATGCAATAATATATCCTGACGAGGAATTCATGGGTCATTCGTTAAAGGAAAGATCAGAAAAAAACTGTTGTTGTATCGGACTTTGTCAGAACTTGATAGCAACTTTATTAGCACACAGTACATGGATCAGTTTCTTCCTTCAGTTCACAAGTGTAAGTGTGATTAAAATAGTTGCCTCCTTATTTTCTCTAGCTTGCAAAATATGTAATAAATTTAGTTATTTCTAATCACTCCCTGAGATTTGAACTGTATCTTGATAACTCTTTATATTCACATATTGTGTCTAATGCCATATTGAAAATGTGACACGAGCTGCTTTCTTTACCAATTTAAATGCCTTTGTGAGCTAGCGATCCTCTGCCCTTTGTCATTGCAATGGCAACCATCAGCTGTTCCTACACTTGTGTGGCGGTCAAGTTACGAAATAATTCATAGATTAATATTGAATGTGTGTAGTTGTTTTTAATTATATTTAGGAATAAAGCGATATTCTGGTGTTTAACTGCATTGCTTTAATGCACTCCTGCATTGGGCTCACACATATGCTCTGTGCTCTGGCTACTTCAACAATGTTGAAAAGCCATGGTGAGCGATTCTGTCTATATCGCGCTAAACGCAGTCAACCAATCCCAATAGATTGGGTCATCAGACCAATTAGCACAGATTAGCATCGTGCTAAGGAGAGCTTTGGGAAGAAATAAAGCGCTGAATGAATCATATTGGAGTCGTTGGGATAATTAGATAATTTTAAATGCATATTATAAGACAATGAAAACGTTTTTTTTAACTTGCAAGCATATCAGCCTGTTGTTGGAGACACCAAAACCAAAATATTACCATTTTTAATGCATAATAGGGGCTCTTTAAAGGTACAGTAATAATCAAACAGAATATGTTATTAAAGGTGTAATTTACCTAAAACTGAAAGTCCTGTCATCATTTACTCACTCTTCACTGCTTGCTAACTGGTTTGAGTTTCTTTATTCTCTTGAACAAATAATTAAAAAAAAGAAATGTTAACTTATACAGTAACTATTGACTTACAAAGTATTTGTTTCTCCTACTATGGATGTTAATGGTTTTTAGCTTTCTTTAAAATATCTTCTTTTGCGTCTTCAAGACAGGTTGGCAACCAGTGAAGAGTGAGTAACCAAAGCCTGATTTCACCAAGTAGGACATGTTCCTGGATCTTTGTTGATACAGCATTCCAATCAGCCAATCAGAATTAAGGGATACATTTACCATTTATGTTAAGTTTAGACTTATGGTTAGTTTCAGCCATTTCTACTTGAGTGTAATCCAACTGTTTATCCTCTCTGATTTTGGGAACAATTTACAGTTATGGTTGGGTTTAGGGGTAGGGAATTGGTATGAATTATGTTTTCCAACAAAATGATGTTCTGGAATCAACATAGATGTTAATCCAGGATTGTATCGTACTTGGCAAAATCTTGACATGCGGTTGAGTAAATGGCTAAATAGCTACAACAACTTGAGTGCGAGAAAACAGTGAGTAAAATGATCTATTGCTTTAAATTCCACGTCTTGTTGCTGTGTGAACAGGACATTTTGAAAATCACATCTAGAAGTAAATCTAGAAGTACAAAGACACAATTTGAGACATAAAATATTGTAAGCAAAACATTTATCTTACCATCAGTTGTGGAAGACTTGAGTCTCTGACATAGGCCTTCTACATCTGTAAAGCTTTCCTGGATTTTCTGCAAGGCTTCAGCTCCTCTCAGCTCCATCAGGTTCCGGAGCTCATCCAACGACACCCCAAAGTCACCAGCATGGTTGGCTTCTGCGCCTCCTCCGCCCCGCTTGGGGTAAAACTCCACCGTGCTGTTGGCCATATCACCCATGGTCGCCGTAGTGGACATCTTGAGTCTTAAGGTGATCGGTCCCTGATGTTTGATCTATATGAAGTCTTCTACTTTTTAGCAACGTGAGGCCAGTCTTACTGGCTTAATTAATTTTGGTTTTGAATTGGCTTCTTTACTCCTCTCTCCCTCCCCGGTAGTTCCTCCCGTTCTTCTAACTCTCCATCAGATGAACCAATCGGGACAACATCAGCCGGACACTTATAACGTTTTCAAAGAAATCCTATCCTCTCCACTCAACCCCCTCACCCCAAGGGTCAACAGAACGAGGGATCGGGCCACTTCCAATCCATCAGGACAACGAGAACAAGGGGCGCAAAACCGAAAAGGATGTTTTGTAGATCTGCAGCACTGATGCGTTAGGATTCAAAGGAAGTGGAATGTTGGGATTGGCGAGGAAGCCTGCAGAGACACACAGACAGAATAACACATTACAGTCTTCAAAGTGCTCGTGTGGGCAGCAACTCGGAGTACAGTGGGCATTCCTTAAGAGACAGAGCAGGCATACAGTCAGACGGCTCCGAGCGAATGCTTTCAAACGTATCAGCACGTTTTCACCTCAATTCTAAAGGTCTTTTGTGTTTTAATTGAGTCACACTCTTCTCTTACTCCCATTAATGAGGTATCAGACAGGTCGCCGCAATAATAATTACACTAAACGGATTTTGTGGCCATTTCATGAGCAACACAAGCGAAATCCCTGGACATACAGTGAGGTATACTGTATGAGGGATGTGTGCTTTCACAGATGGTGATGCATATAGCATATACTGTATCTCCAGCGATCCAGACCACTGCATTGGCCCATAGTTGCCATGGCAACATACAGATGCCTCTGACTCCCGCAAAGCTCCTTCGGCCTCACTATACCCCAACACACACACACACACACACACACACACACACACACACACACACACACACACACACACACACACACACACACACACACACACACACACACACACACACACTTACATGTACATTTGGTTTTTAATCGCACTCTAACACTAGCTATTTATGTGGCAGCTAGATAACCGACATCAGCTATCGATACCATTTAGGCTCTAATACTTCTTCTTTCTCTCCATCTCCCAGCATTCCTCTGTCCCTACATTCTCTTAGATGACAGTTTGAGCCTCAGACGGCACACCCACAGACACCCACGGCCCGTTCACTGAGCTTCTGATGCACGGACCACACACAACAATGCAAAGTACTTTCTCAATGTGCCAAAGACTAATCTGATTGGCTGAGTGCAGGTAGCATCCAGGAGTAAAAGCCCACAGGGTTTTTTTTCAGCTGTGTGCAAAGTGAGCTACAAGGTTGATAAATTGGTTTATCAAAAAATAATAATAATAAATTATATAAGTATGCACTGGTGCCACCCCTTTACTCTTGTGTATTGCCACAAACAGTGACAAGCAAAGGATACTCTAATGTAGTTTTGAGATTTTTTCAGGCAAGAATGTAGTTGTTTAGACAGCAACAATGCAGTTTAATTACAAAGATAGTGCCTATTTTAGATTATTTATACTTTCAGACCACATAGCATGTCCTTAGGGGAGAAAAACAGCATAATAGAGCATTTTATCAGCATAAAATTCAAACTACAGCTGAACAAAACATTGTAATCTGGTAAGTGACATTCTAAGTTGATCCCTCCTTTATATTTTGTATTGCTGTATTAATACCACAGAAACTGGTAGTGTTTGCTTTGCTCTGGCTTTTTTGGGTTTAATATTATTATTATTATTGTTATTATTATTATTATTATTATAATTATTATTATTTGTATCATTATTATTGTGATCTCCCGATTGCAACAGAGAAATACAGGAAAATCTCTGTAGACTGATGGCATTTCATGCCGTTCAGCCATATAATCTTAAAATGTCAGCAAAAACACCTGTTTTGCCATCACTTTAGATATTATACTAGAGAATCATTCAAATAATAGATCTTAAGTTTGTGAACTGGCAACGGCATCTGCTGTTCTGACTTCAGCTGCAGATGTGAATGAGTGCTAGAAGAAAGTAGTTCCTCATACAAAAAGGGTTATTGAGACTCTCTGTGTTTGATTTTATTTTTTATACAGACACAACGGGGCACAACGCACGCTTCCCATCAGTGCCGACATACAGCCACATCGCACTGCTACTCATGTGATATGACTTAATATATATACACAGTTCTATATACAGTACATACTTATTTATATTTATATATATATATATATATATATATATATATATATATATATATATATATATATATATATATATATATATATATTAAACAATGCAAAAATGAACAATTGTTTTTTTTCTATACTTGTGGTATAATATACTGTATAATATACTTCAGATAAACTTGTCAATTAACTTAATTGTCAGTCATGGAAAATAGCTGTTTAGGCAACAATTTGAGAAACTGTCCTTTTATAATCAAAATAGTAACTATATTAAATGATTATGAAATTATATATATATATATAAATATATATATATATATATATATATATATATATATATATATATATATATATATATATACAGTATACACATGTAAAGTTAAACATTTTTACAATTTAAAGCAAATATTTATTTCATTATGGTGGATCATTTTGATAGCAGTAGTGGTTGATGAATTTGCATGAAAATCAGGGTTTGTCTGTTTCGGTGGAGTTTTGGTCTAATTGAACTTCAATAGTTCAATTACAACATTTGATTAATTTTTTTCTTTAGAAATGCGCTTTTGAAGACATCCTTACTGGTGTCCATCTTGAAACAAAACAACCAGCGGTTGATGTACCAGCATTTTTAAATACTATATAAATTAAATAACATTAAAATAATTTCTTAATTACAAAATATTTAAAAAAATGTAACATTTGAAATTAATTGGTTTAATAAAACATATCTGAATGTACAAAAAAAAAAAAAACGAAGAATGGTTGATTGTATTTTTGACAGTTTGTCCAAGAAAGGGGTGTTTAGGTATAAACAATTTTTTAATCCAAAAATATTTTGATTACATATTTATTTAATTACCCAATTATTTTATTTAAAAAATGTATAACCTTCATTGGTAAAAATCCAGTAAAAACAAATAAAATTATGTTTAATTATCAAATTATGTGGTAATTATCAAAATGTAAAATATTAAAATTATAACAAAAATAATTCCAACAGTAATTATTCATTCATTTATTTTCCTTCAGCTTAGTTCCTTTATTAATTTGGGGTCGCCACAGCGGAATGAACCACTAACTTATCCAGCATATGTACTACACAGCGGATACCCTTCGAGCTGCAACTCAGTGATGAGAATCACCCATACACCCCCACATACACTAAAGACAATTTAGCTAACCCAATCCACCAAAAGCGCATGTTTTGGACTGTGGGGGAACCCGTAGCTCTGAGCGGGAACCTATGCCAACACAGGAAGAATATGCAAACAGAAACACAGAAACGCTAACTGACCCAGCTGGAGCTCGAACCAGCAACCTTCTTGCTGTGAAGCGACAGTGCTAACCACTGAGCCACAGTGTGACCCATTTCAGTAATTATTTATAATTAATTTGACTAAAATGCAACATCCATATATGCAATAAAACCAAATTAGTTAGGTAGTTAAAATCAGTTGATCTATTCCAGCCTAAGCTCATGGTGGTACTTGTACTAAGCTGTGATATGGACCAGGTCTCATGATGTTCAGTCAGAATTTGTCTATCTGTCTATACGAGTCTGCTTGTAGGGAGATGAGTGTGGGGTAATGCAGCAGCATTGAGCTGTGTGTGTGTGTGTGTAGGCAGTGTTCAAGAGTGACACAGAGGGTGTCATCACTCTCATGCTGACTCACTAACCCCAGTCTTCCTGCACCCTCCGCTCTTCTGCATACATGCACACACACACCATCCATCAGCTTCTGCACACATTTAACACATCACCTGGGCTCACATGGGCAAAACCTCACTCTGGCTGTGGATACCTCTCATCTTTGACATTTTTTTTATATTTAGATGCTTTTATTAACATTGCATTGGAGACGCACATTAATAAGTTCTTGGGTAATTAAATACATTTTTTGAGATCCAGTAGAGGAAGATCAAACTGCATTGATTTTGAGGGGATAAACTACAGAATTGATTTAACCATGGTATAATGCAGTACGTGTTAAAGATATACGTAAAAGAATTATGTTCTTACTGGTAGCTTAAAAATGATTTAAAATACGGTATATCATACAACAAGCAGAGTACGTGTTAGCCTTATGCACCTAAACAGCACAACAAAAAGTCTGGCCTTCGTTCCAGCTTACTGTGGCCAAGAACCACCTACTTAGATGGAAATATACTGTCTGAATGATGTGTAAAGTAACCATCTATGGTTTATTTTGTGGTTATAGCCAGAGGTAACCTGAAAAAAAATAACATTATATAGTTAAAAGTGTTAGCTCTGAATTCCTATTTCTTTTTTTTTTAAATATTTCCCAAATGTTGTTTGAAAGAGGAAGGTAAATTTCAAAGTACTTCTGATAATATATTTTTTTCTTTTGGAGATAGTGTTATTATTTTATTTCGGCTAGAATGAAAGCGTTTAAAAATAAAAAAATTAAATAAAAACATTTTAGGGTTAATATTATTAGCCCCCTTAAGCAACATGTATTTTTAAATTGCCTACAGAACAGTTATACAATGACTTGCCTAATTAACTTAATTGATAGTTAAGCCATTAAAATATTGTATGACAAAAATTACATTTTTTGCACTATTGCTAAAATAATGATCAGGGACAGTTACAGTATATATTACAACAACAAATCAGAAAAAGTTGGGACAGTATGGAAAATAAAAACAAATTTGATTTCTAAATTTACTTTGATTTGTATATCATTACAGACAATACGAAAAACATTATTTAATGTGTTGCTCATGTTTTTTTATTTTATTTATTTATTTATTTATTTATTATCAAAATAAACACATTCCAATTTTGGTTCTTGCAACACATTTCAAAAAAAGTTTTTTGAAAAAAAAAAAAAGAGCCGTTTTGGGCTTGTAATCAGGAAAATTGGTTAATTAACAATGTGATTTGAAACAGGTGATGTCAACAGGTGATTGTAATTATGATTTAGTACAAAAGCAGCATCCAAGAAAAATAAAGAAAAGAAAAAAAAAAGATAAGATAGATATTTGGATATTCCACCTTCAACAGTGAATAACAATTAAAAGATTCAAGGAATCTGAAGGAATTTCAGTGTGTAAAGGACAAGAGTGCAATCCTAAGCTGTATTATGATCTCTGATACCCAAGGTGGCACCCCATAAAGAGTCCTCATTCATCTATAAGCGATATCACCACATGGGCCCAGGACTACTTTGGCAAACCTTTGTCA